CATATAATACTACAACAACTAACAATGCGTCGACCACTGCAACACCACCTACACAACTCAGTGACAACAAACAACACAGTGCTTTCACACTAAGTCACAATTACACACACAAAATACACATCACACATACCATACACTCTCTCGTCATCCCACATCCGTGTCACTGTGCCTACAATCAGTGTGAATCTCTGCTCGCATCCACTACACCACTGATCATGCTGATGCATTCAGCTACAAAACAACATAAACATGCTGTCGCCACTCACCTTCACACTCACCATCGACACATTTGCATTGCGAACACTCTCAAACGCAATCACTGTCATTCAGTCAGTCAATCTCTGCCTTAACCAACCAGTCACTCAATCACTCCATCAACCACTCCATTATTCAATCCACCAATCAATCATTCAATCAATTAATCAATTAATCATTCATTCATCCATTCACTCATTCATTCATTCATTCATTCATTCATTCATTCATTCATTCATTCAGTCCGTCGATCAATCAACACGTTGTTCAAACAGTCAATCGGTCGATGTGCCAATCAGTAGAACCGTGAGTCGATGCACTCAACACAAGCACACATGTCATGTGAACACGTGTTGAATGAGGTGTGGAGTGCATTTGGTGTCTTGCAAAACGATTCGGACCTACCGAAAGTAGCTGCAGCAGTAGTTGATGACGGCTCGGTCATCCGCATCGTAGCCAATGTTGCTGCCGTGGTCATCGTCATCGACGGCGTCAATGTTGTGCTTGTGGTCGCGGTGGTGCTAGTGCTTGTGCTTGTGTCCACGTTCGTGCTCGTGCTCGTGCTCGTGCTCGTGCTCGTACTAGTGCTAGTGGTGTTCGGTCGACTGAGTTCTGACGCCGCACTTGTGTCTGTGTGCTCCACACTGCTGGTCTCAGTCGCAACGCCTGTCGATGTGTCTGTACAGAAGCAGAGAGAACACACACAAACACACAAACAACCACAATTAGTACACTCGTCACAAGTCAACATCATATCCACATTGTCTCGCAATATGCCAGTCACATCCTCTGTCTCAGGTCACACAAACAAAATACACATCACACATACCATACACTCTCTCGTCATCCCACATCCGTGTCACTGTGCCTACAATCAGTGTGAATCTCTGCTCGCATCCACTACACCACTGATCATGCTGATGCATTCAGCTACAAAACAACATAAACATGCTGTCGCCACTCACCTTCACACTCACCATCGACACATTTGCATTGCCAACACTCTCAAACGCAATCACTGTCATTCAGTCAGTCAATCTCTGCATTAAACAACCAGTCACTCAATCACTCCATCAACCACTCCATTATTCAATCCATCAATCAATCATTCAATCAATTAATCAATTAATCATTCATTCATCCATTCATTCATTCATTCAATCTTTCATTCATTCATTCAGTCCGTCGATCAATCAACACGTTGTTCAAACAGTCAATCGGTCGATGTGCCAATCAGTAGAACCGTGAGTCGATGCACTCAACACAAGCACACATGTCATGTGAACACGTGTTGAATGAGGTTTGGAGTGCATTTGGTGTCTTGCAAAACGATTCGGACCTACCGAAAGTAGCTGCAGCAGTAGTTGATGACGGCTCGGTCATCCGCATCGTAGCCAATGTTGCTGCCGTGGTCATCGTCATCGACGGCGTCAATGTTGTGCTTGTGGTCGCGGTGGTGCTAGTGCTTGTGCTTGTGTCCACGTTCGTGCTCGTGCTCGTGCTCGTACTAGTGCTAGTGGTGTTCGGTCGACTGAGTTCTGACGCCGCACTTGTGTCTGTGTGCTCCACACTGCTGGTCTCAGTCGCAACGCCTGTCGATGTGTCTGTACAGAAGCAGAGAGAACACACACAAACACACAAACAACCACAATTAGTACACTCGTCACAAGTCAACATCATATCCACATTGTCTCGCAATATGCCAGTCACATCCTCTGTCTCAGGTCACACAACCAAAATAACTATCAATGCAACACTAAATACCGACACTTATGCCACCGTCTCCACCAACATCATCACACCAATATCTACGCACACACAAACAACTACATATAATACTACAACAACTAACAATGCGTCGACCACTGCAACACCACCTACACAACTCAGTGACAACAAACAACACAGTGCTTTCACACTAAGTCACAATTACACACACAAAATACACATCACACATACCATACACTCTCTCGTCATCCCACATCCGTGTCACTGTGCCTACAATCAGTGTGAATCTCTGCTCGCATCCACTACACCACTGATCATGCTGATGCATTCAGCTACAAAACAACATAAACATGCTGTCGCCACTCACCTTCACACTCACCATCGACACATTTGCATTGCGAACACTCTCAAACGCAATCACTGTCATTCAGTCAGTCAATCTCTGCCTTAACCAACCAGTCACTCAATCACTCCATCAACCACTCCATTATTCAATCCACCAATCAATCATTCAATCAATTAATCAATTAATCATTCATTCATCCATTCACTCATTCATTCAATCTTTCATTCATTCATTCAGTCCGTCGATCAATCAACACGTTGTTCAAACAGTCAATCGGTCGATGTGCCAATCAGTAGAACCGTGAGTCGATGCACTCAACACAAGCACACATGTCATGTGAACACGTGTTGAATGAGGTTTGGAGTGCATTTGGTGTCTTGCAAAACGATTCGGACCTACCGAAAGTAGCTGCAGCAGTAGTTGATGACGGCTCGGTCATCCGCATCGTAGCCAATGTTGCTGCCGTGGTCATCGTCATCGACGGCGTCAATGTTGTGCTTGTGGTCGCGGTGGTGCTAGTGCTTGTGCTTGTGTCCACGTTCGTGCTCGTGCTCGTGCTCGTACTAGTGCTAGTGGTGTTCGGTCGACTGAGTTCTGACGCCGCACTTGTGTCTGTGTGCTCCACACTGCTGGTCTCAGTCGCAACGCCTGTCGATGTGTCTGTACAGAAGCAGAGAGAACACACACAAACACACAAACAACCACAATTAGTACACTCGTCACAAGTCAACATCATATCCACATTGTCTCGCAATATGCCAGTCACATCCTCTGTCTCAGGTCACACAACCAAAATAACTATCAATGCAACACTAAATACCGACACTTATGCCACCGTCTCCACCAACATCATCACACCAATATCTACGCACACACAAACAACTACATATAATACTACAACAACTAACAATGCGTCGACCACTGCAACACCACCTACACAACTCAGTGACAACAAACAACACAGTGCTTTCACACTAAGTCACAATTACACACGCAAAATACACATCACACATACCATACACTCTCTCGTCATCCCACATCCGTGTCACTGTGCCTACAATCAGTGTGAATCTCTGCTCGCATCCACTACACCACTGATCATGCTGATGCATTCAGCTACAAAACAACATAAACATGCTGTCGCCACTCACCTTCACACTCACCATCGACACATTTGCATTGCCAACACTCTCAAACGCAATCACTGTCATTCAGTCAGTCAATCTCTGCATTAAACAACCAGTCACTCAATCACTCCATCAACCACTCCATTATTCAATCCATCAATCAATCATTCAATCAATTAATCAATTAATCATTTACTCATCCATTCACTCATTCATTCATGCTTTCATTCATTCATTCAGTCCGTCGATCAATCAACACGTTGTTCAAACAGTCAATCGGTCGATGTGCCAATCAGTAGAACCGTGAGTCGATGCACTCAACACAAGCACACATGTCATGTGAACACGTGTTGAATGAGGTGTGGAGTGCATTTGGTGTCTTGCAAAACGATTCGGACCTACCGAAAGTAGCTGCAGCAGTAGTTGATGACGGCTCGGTCATCCGCATCGTAGCCAATGTTGCTGCCGTGGTCATCGTCATCGACGGCGTCAATGTTGTGCTTGTGGTCGCGGTGGTGCTAGTGCTTGTGCTTGTGTCCACGTTCGTGCTCGTGCTCGTGCTCGTGCTCGTGCTCGTACTAGTGCTAGTGGTGTTCGGTCGACTGAGTTCTGACGCCGCACTTGTGTCTGTGTGCTCCACACTGCTGGTCTCAGTCGCAACGCCTGTCGATGTGTCTGTACAGAAGCAGAGAGAACACACACAAACACACAAACAACCACAATTAGTACACTCGTCACAAGTCAACATCATATCCACATTGTATCGCAATATGCCAGTCACATCCTCTGTCTCAGGTCACACAACCAAAATAACTATCAATGCAACACTAAATACCGACACTTATGCCACCGTCTCCACCAACATCATCACACCAATATCTACGCACACACAAACAACTACATATAATACTACAACAACTAACAATGCGTCGACCACTGCAACACCATCTACACAACTCAGTGACAACAAACAACACAGTGCTTTCACACTAAGTCACAATTACACACGCAAAATACACATCACACATACCATACACTCTCTCGTCATCCCACATCCGTGTCACTGTGCCTACAATCAGTGTGAATCTCTGCTCGCATCCACTACACCACTGATCATGCTGATGCATTCAGCTACAAAACAACATAAACATGCTGTCGCCACTCACCTTCACACTCACCATCGACACATTTGCATTGCCAACACTCTCAAACGCAATCACTGTCATTCAGTCAGTCAATCTCTGCATTAAACAACCAGTCACTCAATCACTCCATCAACCACTCCATTATTCAATCCATCAATCAATCATTCAATCAATTAATCAATTAATCATTTACTCATCCATTCACTCATTCATTCATGCTTTCATTCATTCACTCAGTCCGTCGATCAATCAACACGTTGTTCAAACAGTCAATCGGTCGATGTGCCAATCAGTAGAACCGTGAGTCGATGCACTCAACACAAGCACACATGTCATGTGAACACGTGTTGAATGAGGTGTGGAGTGCATTTGGTGTCTTGCAAAACGATTCGGACCTACCGAAAGTAGCTGCAGCAGTAGTTGATGACGGCTCGGTCATCCGCATCGTAGCCAATGTTGCTGCCGTGGTCATCGTCATCGACGGCGTCAATGTTGTGCTTGTGGTCGCGGTGGTGCTAGTGCTTGTGCTTGTGTCCACGTTCGTGCTCGTGCTCGTGCTCGTGCTCGTGCTCGTACTAGTGCTAGTGGTGTTCGGTCGACTGAGTTCTGACGCCGCACTTGTGTCTGTGTGCTCCACACTGCTGGTCTCAGTCGCAACGCCTGTCGATGTGTCTGTACAGAAGCAGAGAGAACACACACAAACACACAAACAACCACAATTAGTACACTCGTCACAAGTCAACATCATATCCACATTGTATCGCAATATGCCAGTCACATCCTCTGTCTCAGGTCACACAACCAAAATAACTATCAATGCAACACTAAATACCGACACTTATGCCACCGTCTCCACCAACATCATCACACCAATATCTACGCACACACAAACAACTACATATAATACTACAACAACTAACAATGCGTCGACCACTGCAACACCATCTACACAACTCAGTGACAACAAACAACACAGTGCTTTCACACTAAGTCACAATTAAACACACAAAATACACATCACACATACCATACACTCTCTCGTCATCCCACATCCGTGTCACTGTGCCTACAATCAGTGTGAATCTCTGCTCGCATCCACTACACCACTGATCATGCTGATGCATTCAGCTACAAAACAACATAAACATGCTGTCGCCACTCACCTTCACACTCACCATCGACACATTTGCATTGCCAACACTCTCAAACGCAATCACTGTCATTCAGTCAGTCAATCTCTGGCTTAATCAAACAGTCACTCAATCACTACATCAACCACTTTATTATTCAATCCATCAATCAATCATTCAATCAATTAATCAATTAATTACTCACGAAGACGAAATCTCATTTAAATATAGCACATGGTAATATTCCATAAACGAGTTCAGGAATTAACCATTCATATAGAAATCCGAATTAATCCAGCTTCAATAATCTTAAGGAAATGACCGAATCCATCAATCAGTCTATCACTCATTCAATCCGTCGATCAATCAACACGTTGATCAAACAGTCAATTGGTCGATGTGTCAATCAGTACGACAGTCAGTCAACACAACACACACATGTCATGCAAATAATTTTTTTATACATCCTTCAAGTTTATATCGAACTTATGACATCTTGGTCGGATTCCTTAGCAATCACTTTCGGCGTGGACTTTTCTTGTGACTCATTATTCCACTTTGGAATTACTGATAATTTGGATCGAATCATTTTGGAATAAATAAGTCGTGACATAGTTATGTTTCGGATGAATTCATATCCAATGTTGTTTTTCCTCATAATGCAGCTATTACGTGTGACGCTTCCTCGTATGCTTGCATATAAACAACGCATGACTGAAGGAAATAATTCAAATAGCGGAGGCTGGTACGTGTGATCTCGACAAGATGCGCTGCACTAGACGAGGAGCTACTACACACAGTAAAAATAGACTCAAGGTTGCACAGACACAAATAGCAATGGTTTAAGACAGATGTAATCAGCACAGAAAAAGCATCAAAGAAATAATAGTCGCGAGAAAAGTAAAAGCATGTTGAAAAAATGAACGAACGAAGGGGAAAATACAATAAAACATAACACATGATAATAGTCCTTAAACTAGTGCTGGAAGTTATCACTCCTTCAGAGTTCGGCGCATATGACAGTCAGTAGGTCAGTTAGTTCAATGGTCTGTCAGCAACTAAATAAATAAACAAATCAATCAAGCAACCAATAGACACTGCACAATAACACATCTCGTGTGAGCGTATGTAGGAAAAGATATGCACAGCACTTGATGTTATGCAACATAATGTGAACCTACCGAAAGCAACTCCAGTAGTAGTTGATGACGGGCTGGTCATCAGCACAGTCGATCTTCCAGTCATCGTCTCCATCGACGTGGTCCTGATCGGCTGCCTCGATTCTGTCGACACACTTGTTTCTGTTTGTCCGAGACCGTCAGTCGACGTCACAGTGCTTGTTCGTGGACCTGTTGAGTTAAACGGAAAACACATGTGGTTGTATTCGTCGTTCAGAAATATCTTCCTGTCAGCTTCCATACAGGACTACGGTGGTTGATATTTCGACCATCTAATTATTGTTATTCTACTAACAAGATGTTGTTTGTCCGACTCAACAGAACATCAACTCATGCACAACAACACTTCGAATTGCATAGTCTACACGTTTAGTTGAGATAGAGAAGACTGAGTCTACATTGCAGCTCTAAATTCCGGACAGAAGACAAAACTTAAAATAAGACAACTACCTTTATATAGTGACACTCAGTGACCATAGCACGCATTGCGAAAATGACAAGCACAATTCAGGCAGTAGCAAATGTCATTGAAGTGGTGTGAATTCCAAGAATCTTATCTGGGTTATCCTTCAATCGATAAACTGACATGCAATAACAAACACCCATACATACTCATCTCTCCTTAACACACCGATTCACTCTTCACAATTTCGAAAACCTGCACAAATCAATGCTACACAACACGGTCACATCACAGAAATGCTACACCGTACATTGTAAACAACAAACAATCGACATCATCAACATTACCCCGATGCATGTGACCTGTGAAAGAAAACTGGAGAGTCTCACAACTCCCTATCCATCAGTAAGTCAGTCACTAACTCCACGTGTACGTTTTCCATGGTGTATTGATCTCTGCTGGATGGTTCCACTACGGGTGTGCACATCCAACATTGGGAACAGTCGGGTGATAAACAATACTGTCACTGTTCTCCTATCTCAATGGCGCCACACTCAGTGTTTCGCCTAACTATCATCTCATCTCATCTCATCTCATCTCACATCACATCACATCATATCATATCATATCATATCATATCATATCAAAACATATCATTGGCAAAATGGGCAACAACAATTGACGACTTACGATATGCTGTGATGTTTCTCAAACTTGGTCCACTCTTGATATTCAGGAGTGTGCATCCACGAACCAGAGTCTCCGTCAGATCAGTCTCAGTTGGTTGTGACCCACGAGACAAATGCAACTGCACACTCGCAATTGCTCGAACAGCTTCGATTGAGACACGATTGACACCCGCGTCTGTGTGAGCTTGGCCAACACCGTCAATCCAGATAATGAACCGAATGAAGACAACACGGACACAAATAGCACCTCGAGAGAACTCTTCATTACCCAGACGTAGTCCGCTCAATAGCTGCAACGTGCAAAACAAAATCACACAGAATACACAATCAGTCGATTAGTCAGTCTCTCGATCCGTCGTTCGCTTGCTCATATATCAACACCACAACTACAATTTTCAATTAGACCGGTGTCGAACAGTGCTCATCATCGCTATCATCATTATAATGACCAAGTGCATGACCACCACTTCACAAATGGACAATCACTTACAATCACTGGCTTACTCACTCAACTAACCGACGCTCACACTACCAATGTGAACACCACACTCAATACACCAATTCATCACTACTCGCTTCAATCTCACACTTACATGACCACTAACTCATTACCTGCTCACCTACTTACTCACCACCTACTACTAACTTCTAACCTACTCACTAACTTATTGCCTTCTCACAAACGTCCGTTCTCTCACACACACACACACTTCCACGCCTACTTACTAGCTCAGTCTGTACATTACACATTCATCAATTTGATTCAAACTATGCCACCTCTCTCTCTCTCTCTCTCTCTCTCTCTCTCTTGGAGATTTTCACTCCTGCATTTCACAGAACCATTTGTCCACTACACTGGTGTCATTCGAACAAATCACACACTGCTTCTCTGATTATTGCATACCAGTACACTAGGAACACAATAACCATAACCAATGCACACCTACCAGGTCACAAATCGACATCGACAAATTTCTGTACATGACACTTGACTCATTCGACAGATCAGTTGACCAATTCATGGGCACTGACCGTTCTCCAATATAGATCACAATATCCACCTCGAACACGGAGATCTCTACAAATGGAAAGGAGTGAAACATTTCAGATCGATGAAAGTAATCATATTCATATTCATGTCATGAATACTACTACCATTACTACCACTACTACCACTATTATTATTATTATTATTATTATTATTATTATTATTATTATTGTAAATATTATGATTATTATTTTTGTTAGTAGTGGTATTATTGTCATTGTTAGTAATTTTATTAGTAATATTATCATCACACTTGTCATTAGCTCTACTATCAGAGTGTTATTAGCATTTACGTCAACAACGATGATAATAGTGCAACAAACTGTACCAACACCTGCATAACGATGTTGATAATCCTGAACATGATGAAGACGATTAGGGGGAAGGATTTAATCACCGAATCGATGTTGGAGCTGATGGTTGTTAGTATAATCTTGACAAATGTTTTCATTTTACTGGTATTCTACCACTCGTCACAGTTCGCTCAAAATTGTAATTAAATGACAGATAAATGCACACAAAAACGCACTGGATAACAGTAGTGTAAGCAGACGAAGAAGAAATGACAACTTAATGTTAGTATCGCTGTTTTGCACTATGCCAACACGATCGCATTCAAAATCGTCTCCAGAAGATGGGTCTGTTCCTCAGTCAACTTCACTAGGTCAGCATTATGAGTTTCAGCCAGCTGTCCAATGCCCCGTGACAGAACCACCAATCCGAATTCATCCAGCTTCAATAATCTTAAGGAAATGACCGAATCCATCAATCAGTCAATCACTCATTCAATCCGTCGATCAATCAACACGTTGATCAAACAGTCAATTGGTCGATGTGTCAATCAGTACGACAGTCAGTCAACACAACACACACATGTCATGCGAATAATTTTTTTATACATCCTTCAAGTTTATATCGAACTTATGACATCTTGGTCGGATTCCTTAGCAATCACTTTCGGCGTGGACTTTTATTGTGACTCATTATTCCACTTTGGAATTACTGATAATTTGGAGCGAATCATTTTGGAATAAATAAGTCGTGACATAGTTATGTTTCGGGTGAATTCATATCCAATGTTGTTTTTCCTCATAATGCAGCTACTACGTGTGACGCTTCCTCGTATGCTTGCATATAAACAACGCATGACTGAAGGAAATAATTCAAATAGCGGAGGCTGGTACGTGTGATCTCGACAAGATGCGCTGCACTAGACGAGGAGCTACTACACACAGTAAAAATAGACTCAAGGTTGCACAGACACAAATAGCAATGGTTTAAGACAGATGTAATCAGCAAAGAAAAAGCATCAAAGAAATAATAGTCGCGAGAAAAGTAAAAGCATGTTGAAAAAATGAACGAACGAAGGGGAAAATACAATAAAACATAACACATGATAATAGTCCTTAAACTAGTGCTGGAAGTTATCACTCCTTCAGAGTTCGGCGCATATGACAGTCAGTAGGTCAGTTAGTTCAATGGTCTGTCAGCAACTAAATAAATAAACAAATCAATCAAGCAACCAATAGACACTGCACAATAACACATCTCGTGTGAGCGTATGTAGGAAAAGATATGCACAGCACTTGATGTTATGCAACATAATGTGAACCTACCGAAAGCAACTCCAGTAGTAGTTGATGACGGGCTGGTCATCAGCACAGTCGATCTTCCAGTCATCGTCTCCATCGACGTGGTCCTGATCGGCTGCCTCGATTCTGTCGACACACTTGTTTCTGTTTGTCCGAGACCGTCAGTCGACGTCACAGTGCTTGTTCGTGGACCTGTTGAGTTAAACGGAAAACACATGTGGTTGTATTCGTCGTTCAGAAATATCTTCCTGTCAGCTTCCATACAGGACTACGGTGGTTGATATTTCGACCATCTAATTATTGTTATTCTACTAACAAGATGTTGTTTGTCCGACTCAACAGAACATCAACTCATGCACAACAACACTTCGAATTGCATAGTCTACACGTTTAGTTGAGATAGAGAAGACTGAGTCTACATTGCAGCTCTAAATTCCGGACAGAAGACAAAACTTAAAATAAGACAACTACCTTTATATAGTGACACTCAGTGACCATAGCACGCATTGCGAAAATGACAAGCACAATTCAGGCAGTAGCAAATGTCATTGAAGTGGTGTGAATTCCAAGAATCTTATCTGGGTTATCCTTCAATCGATAAACTGACATGCAATAACAAACACCCATACATACTCATCTCTCCTTAACACACCGATTCACTCTTCACAATTTCGAAAACCTGCACAAATCAATGCTACACAACACGGTCACATCACAGAAATGCTACACCGTACATTGTAAACAACAAACAATCGACATCATCAACATTACCCCGATGCATGTGACCTGTGAAAGAAAACTGGAGAGTCTCACAACTCCCTATCCATCAGTAAGTCAGTCACTAACTCCACGTGTACGTTTTCCATGGTGTATTGATCTCTGCTGGATGGTTCCACTACGGGTGTGCACATCCAACATTGGGAACAGTCGGGTGATAAACAATACTGTCACTGTTCTCCTATCTCAATGGCGCCACACTCAGTGTTTCGCCTAACTATCATCTCATCTCATCTCATCTCATCTCACATCACATCACATCATATCATATCATATCATATCATATCATATCAAAACATATCATTGGCAAAATGGGCAACAACAATTGACGACTTACGATATGCTGTGATGTTTCTCAAACTTGGTCCACTCTTGATATTCAGGAGTGTGCATCCACGAACCAGAGTCTCCGTCAGATCAGTCTCAGTTGGTTGTGACCCACGAGACAAATGCAACTGCACACTCGCAATTGCTCGAACAGCTTCGATTGAGACACGATTGACACCCGCGTCTGTGTGAGCTTGGCCAACACCGTCAATCCAGATAATGAACCGAATGAAGACAACACGGACACAAGTAGCACCTCGAGAGAACTCTTCATTACCCAGACGTAGTCCGCTCAATAGCTGCAACGTGCAAAACAAAATCACACAGAATACACAATCAGTCGATTAGTCAGTGTCTCGATCCGTCGTTCGCTTGCTCATATATCAACACCACAACTACAATTTTCAATTAGACCGGTGTCGAACAGTGCTCATCATCGCTATCATCATTATAATGACCAAGTGCATGACCACCACTTCACAAATGGACAATCACTTACAATCACTGGCTTACTCACTCAACTAACCGACGCTCACACTACCAATGTGAACACCACACTCAATACACCAATTCATCACTACTCGCTTCAATCTCACACTTACATGACCACTAACTCATTACCTGCTCACCTACTTACTCACCACCTACTACTAACTTCTAACCTACTCACTAACTTATTGCCTTCTCACAAACGTCCGTTCTCTCACACACACACACACACACTTCCACGCCTACTTACTAGCTCAGTCTGTACATTACACATTCATCAATTTGATTCAAACTATGCCACCTCTCTCTCTCTCTCTCTCTCTCTCTCTCTTGGAGATTTTCACTCCTGCATTTCACAGAACCATTTGTCCACTACACTGGTGTCATTCGAACAAATCACACACTGCTTCTCTGATTATTGCATACCAGTACACTAGGAACACAATAACCATAACCAATGCACACCTACCAGGTCACAAATCGACATCGACAAATTTCTGTACATGACACTTGACTCATTCGACAGATCAGTTGACCAATTCATGGGCACTGACCGTTCTCCAATATAGATCACAATATCCACCTCGAACACGGAGATCTCTACAAATGGAAAGGAGTGAAACATTTCAGATCGATGAAAGTAATCATATTCATATTCATGTCATGAATACTACTACCATTACTACCACTACTACCACTATTATTATTATTATTATTATTATTATTATTATTATTATTATTATTATTATTATTATTGTAAATATTATGATTATTATTTTTGTTAGTAGTGGTATTATTGTCATTGTTAGTAATTTTATTAGTAATATTATCATCACACTTGTCATTAGCTCTACTATCAGAGTGTTATTAGCATTTACGTCAACAACGATGATAATAGTGCAACAAACTGTACCAACACCTGCATAACGATGTTGATAATCCTGAACATGATGAAGACGATTAGGGGGAAGGATTTAATCACCGAATCGATGTTGGAGCTGATGGTTGTTAGTATAATCTTGACAAATGTTTTCATTTTACTGGTATTCTACCACTCGTCACAGTTCGCTCAAAATTGTAATTAAATGACAGATAAATGCACACAAAAACGCACTGGATAACAGTAGTGTAAGCAGACGAAGAAGAAATGACAACTTAATGTTAGCATCGCTGTTTTGCACTATGCCAACACGATCGCATTCAAAATCGTCTCCAGAAGATGGGTCTGTTCCTCAGTCAACTTCACTAGGTCAGCATTATGAGTTTCAGCCAGCTGTCCAATGCCCCGTGACAGAACCACCAATCCGAATTCATCCAGCTTCAATAATCTTAAGGAAATGACCGAATCCATCAATCAGTCAATCACTCATTCAATCCGTCGATCAATCAACACGTTGATCAAACAGTCAATTGGTCGATGTGTCAATCAGTACGACAGTCAGTCAACACAACACACACATGTCATGCGAATAATTTTTTTATACATCCTTCAAGTTTATATCGAACTTATGACATCTTGGTCGGATTCCTTAGCAATCACTTTCGGCGTGGACTTTTCTTGTGACTCATTATTCCACTTTGGAATTACTGATAATTTGGAGCGAATCATTTTGGAATAAATAAGTCGTGACATAGTTATGTTTCGGGTGAATTCATATCCAATGTTGTTTTTCCTCATAATGCAGCTACTACGTGTGACGCTTCCTCGTATGCTTGCATATAAACAACGCATGACTGAAGGAAATAATTCAAATAGCGGAGGCTGGTACGTGTGATCTCGACAAGATGCGCTGCACTAGACGAGGAGCTACTACACACAGTAAAAATAGACTCAAGGTTGCACAGACACAAATAGCAATGGTTTAAGACAGATGTAATCAGCACAGAAAAAGCATCAAAGAAATAATAGTCGCGAGAAAAGTAAAAGCATGTTGAAAAAATGAACGAACGAAGGGGAAAATACAATAAAACATAACACATGATAATAGTCCTTAAACTAGTGCTGGAAGTTATCACTCCTTCAGAGTTCGGCGCATATGACAGTCAGTAGGTCAGTTAGTTCAATGGTCTGTCAGCAACTAAATAAATAAACAAATCAATCAAGCAACCAATAGACACTGCACAATAACACATCTCGTGTGAGCGTATGTAGGAAAAGATATGCACAGCACTTGATGTTATGCAACATAATGTGAACCTACCGAAAGCAACTCCAGTAGTAGTTGATGACGGGCTGGTCATCAGCACAGTCGATCTTCCAGTCATCGTCTCCATCGACGTGGTCCTGATCGGCTGCCTCGATTCTGTCGACACACTTGTTTCTGTTTGTCCGAGACCGTCAGTCGACGTCACAGTGCTTGTTCGTGGACCTGTTGAGTTAAACGGAAAACACATGTGGTTGTATTCGTCGTTCAGAAATATCTTCCTGTCAGCTTCCATACAGGACTACGGTGGTTGATATTTCGACCATCTAATTATTGTTATTCTACTAACAAGATGTTGTTTGTCCGACTCAACAGAACATCAACTCATGCACAACAACACTTCGAATTGCATAGTCTACACGTTTAGTTGAGATAGAGAAGACTGAGTCTACATTGCAGCTCTAAATTCCGGACAGAAGCCAAAACTTAAAATAAGACAACTACCTTTATATAGTGACACTCAGTGACCATAGCACGCATTGCGAAAATGACAAGCACAATTCAGGCAGTAGCAAATGTCATTGAAGTGGTGTGAATTCCAAGAATCTTATCTGGGTTATCCTTCAATCGATAAACTGACATGCAATAACAAACACCCATACATACTCATCTCTCCTTAACACACCGATTCACTCTTCACAATTTCGAAAACCTGCACAAATCAATGCTACACAACACGGTCACATCACAGAAATGCTACACCGTACATTGTAAACAACAAACAATCGACATCATCAACATTACCCCGATGCATGTGACCTGTGAAAGAAAACTGGAGAGTCTCACACCTCCCTATCCATCAGTAAGTCAGTCACTAACTCCACGTATACGTTTTCCATGGTGTATTGATCTCTGCTGGATGGTTCCACTACGGGTGTGCACATCCAACATTGGGAACAGTCGGGTGATAAACAATACTGTCACTGTTCTCCTATCTCAATGGCGCCACACTCAGTGTCTCGCCTAACTATCATCTCATCTCATCTCATCTCATCTCATCTCATCTCATCTCACATCACATCACATCACATCACATCATATCATATCATATCAAAACATATCATTGGCAAAATGGGCAACAACAATTGACGACTTACGATATGCTGTGATGTTTCTCAAACTTGGTCCACTCTTGATATTCAGGAGTGTGCATCCACGAACCAGAGTCTCCGTCAGATCAGTCTCAGTTGGTTGTGACCCACGAGACAAATGCAACTGCACACTCGCAATTGCTCGAACAGCTTCGATTGACACACGATTGACACCCGCGTCTGTGTGAGCTTGGCCAACGCCGTCAATCCAGATAATGAACCGAATGAAGACAACACGGACACAAGTAGCACCTCGAGAGAACTCTTCATTACCCAGACGTAGTCCGCTCAATAGCTGCAACGTGCAAAACAAAATCACACAGAATACACAATCAGTCGATTAGTCAGTCTCTCGATCCGTCGTTCGCTTGCTCATATATCAACACCACAACTACAATTTTCAATTAGACCGGTGTCGAACAGTGCTCATCATCGCTATCATCATTATAATGACCAAGTGCATGACCACCACTTCACAAATGGACAATCACTTACAATCACTGGCTTACTCACTCAACTAACCGACGCTCACACTACCAATGTGAACACCACACTCAATACAACAATTCATCACTACTCGCTTCAATCTCACACTTACATGACCACTAACTCATTACCTGCTCACCTACTTACTCACCACCTACTACTAACTTCTAACCTACTCACTAACTCATTGCCTTCTCACAAACGTCCGTTCTCTCTCACACACACACACTTCCACGCCTACTTACTAGCTCAGTCTGTACATTACACATTCATCAATTTGATTCAAACTATGCCACCTCTCTCTCTCTCTCTCTCTCTCTCTTGGAGATTTTCACTCCTGCATTTCACAGAACCATTTGTCCACTACACTGGTGTCATTCGAACAAATCACACACTGCTTCTCTGATTATTGCATACCAGTACACTAGGAACACAATAACCATAACCAATGCACACCTACCAGGTCACAAATCGACATCGACAAATTTCTGTACATGACACTTGACTCATTCGACAGATCAGTTGACCAATTCATGGGCACTGACCGTTCTCCAATATAGATCACAATATCCACCTCGAACACGGAGATCTCTACAAATGGAAAGGAGTGAAACATTTCAGATCGATGAAAGTAATCATATTCATATTCATGTCATGAATACTACTACCATTACTACCACTACTACCACTATTATTATTATTATTATTATTATTATTATTATTATTATTATTATTATTGTAAATATTATGATTATTATTTTTGTTAGTAGTGGTATTATTGTCATTGTTAGTAATTTTATTAGTAATATTATCATCACACTTGTCATTAGCTCTACTATCAGAGTGTTATTAGCATTTACGTCAACAACGATGATAATAGTGCAACAAACTGTACCAACACCTGCATAACGATGTTGATAATCCTGAACATGATGAAGACGATTAGGGGGAAGGATTTAATCACCGAATCGATGTTGGAGCTGATGGTTGTTAGTATAATCTTGACAAATGTTTTCATTTTACTGGTATTCTACCACTCGTCACAGTTCGCTCAAAATTGTAATTAAATGACAGATAAATGCACACAAAAACGCACTGGATAACAGTAGTGTAAGCAGACGAAGAAGAAATGACAACTTAATGTTAGCATCGCTGTTTTGCACTATGCCAACACGATCGCATTCAAAATCGTCTCCAGAAGATGGGTCTGTTCCTCAGTCAACTTCACTAGGTCAGCATTATGAGTTTCAGCCAGCTGTCCAATGCCCCGTGACAGAACCACCAATCCGAATTCATCCAGCTTCAATAATCTTAAGGAAATGACCGAATCCATCAATCAGTCAATCACTCATTCAATCCGTCGATCAATCAACACGTTGATCAAACAGTCAATTGGTCGATGTGTCAATCAGTACGACAGTCAGTCAACACAACACACACATGTCATGCGAATAATTTTTTTATACATCCTTCAAGTTTATATCGAACTTATGACATCTTGGTCGGATTCCTTAGCAATCACTTTCGGCGTGGACTTTTCTTGTGACTCATTATTCCACTTTGGAATTACTGATAATTTGGAGCGAATCATTTTGGAATAAATAAGTCGTGACATAGTTATGTTTCGGATGAATTCATATCCAATGTTGTTTTTCCTCATAATGCAGCTACTACGTGTGACGCTTCCTCGTATGCTTGCATATAAACAACGCATGACTGAAGGAAATAATTCAAATAGCGGAGGCTGGTACGTGTGATCTCGACAAGATGCGCTGCACTAGACGAGGAGCTACTGCACACAGTAAAAATAGACTCAAGGTTGCACAGACACAAATAGCAATGGTTTAAGACAGATGTAATCAGCACAGAAAAAGCATCAAAGAAATAATAGTCGCGAGAAAAGTAAAAGCATGTTGAAAAAATGAACGAACGAAGGGGAAAATACAATAAAACATAACACATGATAATAGTCCTTAAACTAGTGCTGGAAGTTATCACTCCTTCAGAGTTCGGCGCATATGACAGTCAGTAGGTCAGTTAGTTCAATGGTCTGTCAGCAACTAAATAAATAAACAAATCAATCAAGCAACCAATAGACACTGCACAACAACACATCTCGTGTGAGCGTATGTAGGAAAAGATATGCACAGCACTTGATGTTATGCAACATAATGTGAACCTACCGAAAGCAACTCCAGTAGTAGTTGATGACGGGCTGGTCATCAGCACAGTCGATCTTGCAGTCATCGTCTCCATCGACGTGGTCCTGATCGGCTGCCTCGATTCTGTCGACACACTTGTTTCTGTTTGTCCGAGACCGTCAGTCGACGTCACAGTGCTTGTTCGTGGACCTGTTGAGTTAAACGGAAAACACATGTGGTTGTATTCGTCATTCAGAAATATCTTCCTGTCAGCTTCCATACAAGACTACGGTGGTTGATATTTCGACCATCTAATTATTGTTATTCTACTAACAAGATGTTGTTTGTCCGACTCAACAGAACATCAACTCATGCACAACAACACTTCGAATTGCATAGTCTACACGTTTAGTTGAGATAGAGAAGACTGAGTCTACATTGCAGCTCTAAATTCCGGACAGAAGCCAAAACTTAAAATAAGACAACTACCTTTATATAGTGACACTCAGTGACCATAGCACGCATTGCGAAAATGACAAGCACAATTCAGGCAGTAGCAAATGTCATTGAAGTGGTGTGAATTCCAAGAATCTTATCTGGGTTATCCTTCAATCGATAAACTGACATGCAATAACAAACACCCATACATACTCATCTCTCCTTAACACACCGATTCACTCTTCACAATTTCGAAAACCTGCACAAATCAATGCTACACAACACGGTCACATCACAGAAATGCTACACCGTACATTGTAAACAACAAACAATCGACATCATCAACATTACCCCGATGCATGTGACCTGTGAAAGAAAACTGGAGAGTCTCACACCTCCCTATCCATCAGTAAGTCAGTCACTAACTCCACGTATACGTTTTCCATGGTGTATTGATCTCTGCTGGATGCTTCCACTACGGTTGTGCACATCCAACATTGGGAACAGTCGGGTGATAAACAATACTGTCACTGTTCTCCTATCTCAATGGCGCCACACTCAGTGTCTCGAATAACTATCATCTCATCTCATCTCATCTCACATCACATCACATCACATCATATCATATCATATCAAAACATATCATTGGCAAAATGGGCAACAACAATTGACGACTTACGATATGCTGTGATGTTTCTCAAACTTGGTCCACTCTTGATATTCAGGAGTGTGCATCCACGAACCAGAGTCTCCGTCAGATCAGTCTCAGTTGGTTGTGACCCACGAGACAAATGCAACTGCACACTCGCAATTGCTCGAACAGCTTCGATTGACACACGATTGACACCCGCGTCTGTGTGAGCTTGGCCAACGCCGTCAATCCAGATAATGAACCGAATGAAGACAACACGGACACAAGTAGCACCTCGAGAGAACTCTTCATTACCCAGACGTAGTCCGCTCAATAGCTGCAACGTGCAAAACAAAATCACACAGAATACACAATCAGTCGATTAGTCAGTCTCTCGATCCGTCGTTCGCTTGCTCATATATCAACACCACAACTACAATTTTCAATTAGACCGGTGTCGACCAGTGCTCATCATCGCTATCATCATTATAATGACCAAGTGCATGACCACCACTTCACAAATGGACAATCACTTACAATCACTGGCTTACTCACTCAACTAACCGATGCTCACACTACCAATGTGAACACCACACTCAATACACCAATTCATCACTACTCGCTTCAATCTCACACTTACATGACCACTAACTCATTACCTGCTCACCTACTTACTCACCACCTACTACTAACTTCTTACCTACTCACTAACTCATTGCCTTCTCACAAACGTCCGTTCTCTCACACACACACACACTTCCACGCCTACTTACTAGCTCAGTCTGTACATTACACATTCATCAATTTGATTCAAACTATGCCACCTCTCTCTCTCTCTCTCTCTCTCTCTCTCTCTTGGAGATTTTCACTCCTGCATTTCACAGAACCATTTGTCCACTACACTGGTGTCATTCGAACAATTCACACACTGCTTCTCTGATTATTGCATACCAGTACATTAGGAACACAATAACCATAACCAATGCACACCTACCAGGTCACAAATCGACATCGACAAATTTCTGTACATGACACTTGACTCATTCGACAGATCAGTTGACCAATTCATGGGCACTGACCGTTCTCCAATATAGATCACAATATCCACCTCGAACACGGAGATCTCTACAAATGGAAAGGAGTGAAACATTTCAGATCGATGAAAGTAATCATATTCATATTCATGTCATGAATACTACTACCATTACTACCACTACTACCACTATTATTATTATTATTATTATTATTATTATTATTATTATTATTATTGTAAATATTATGATTATTATTTTTGTTAGTAGTGGTATTATTGTCATTGTTAGTAATTTTATTAGTAATATTATCATCACACTTGTCATTAGCTCTACTATCAGAGTGTTATTAGCATTTACGTCAACAACGATGATAATAGTGCAACAAACTGTACCAACACCTGCATAACGATGTTGATAATCCTGAACATGATGAAGACGATTAGGGGGAAGGATTTAATCACCGAATCGATGTTGGAGCTGATGGTTGTTAGTATAATCTTGACAAATGTTTTCATTTTACTGGTATTCTACCACTCGTCACAGTTCGCTCAAAATTGTAATTAAATGACAGATAAATGCACACAAAAACGCACTGGATAACAGTAGTGTAAGCAGACGAAGAAGAAATGACAACTTAATGTTAGCATCGCTGTTTTGCACTATGCCAACACGATCGCATTCAAAATCGTCTCCAGAAGATGGGTCTGTTCCTCAGTCAACTTCACTAGGTCAGCATTATGAGTTTCAGCCAGCTGTCCAATGCCCCGTGACAGAACCACCAATCCGAATTCATCCAGCTTCAATAATCTTAAGGAAATGACCGAATCCATCAATCAGTCAATCACTCATTCAATCCGTCGATCAATCAACACGTTGATCAAACAGTCAATTGGTCGATGTGTCAATCAGTACGACAGTCAGTCAACACAACACACACATGTCATGCGAATAACTTTTTTATACATCCTTCAAGTTTATATCGAACTTATGACATCTTGGTCGGATTCCTTAGCAATCACTTTCGGCGTGGACTTTTCTTGTGACTCATTATTCCACTTTGGAATTACTGATAATTTGGAGCGAATCATTTTGGAATAAATAAGTCGTGACATAGTTATGTTTCGGATGAATTCATATCCAATGTTGTTTTTCCTCATAATGCAGCTACTACGTGTGACGCTTCCTCGTATGCTTGCATATAAACAACGCATGACTGAAGGAAATAATTCAAATAGCGGAGGCTGGTACGTGTGATCTCGACAAGATGCGCTGCACTAGACGAGGAGCTACTGCACACAGTAAAAATAGACTCAAGGTTGCACAGACACAAATAGCAATGGTTTAAGACAGATGTAATCAGCACAGAAAAAGCATCAAAGAAATAATAGTCGCGAGAAAAGTAAAAGCATGTTGAAAAAATGAACGAACGAAGGGGAAAATACAATAAAACATAACACATGATAATAGTCCTTAAACTAGTGCTGGAAGTTACCACTCCTTCAGAGTTCGGCGCATATGACAGTCAGTAGGTCAGTTAGTTCAATGGTCTGTCAGCAACTAAATAAATAAACAAATCAATCAAGCAACCAACAGACACTGCACAATAACACATCTCGTGTGAGCGTATGTAGGAAAAGATATGCACAGCACTTGATGTTATGCAACATAATGTGAACCTACCGAAAGCAACTCCAGTAGTAGTTGATGACGGGCTGGTCATCAGCACAGTCGATCTTGCAGTCATCGTCTCCATTGACGTGGTCCTGATCGGCTGCCTCGATTCTGTCGACACACTTGTTTCTGTTTGTCCGAGACCGTCAGTCGACGTCACAGTGCTTGTTCGTGGACCTGTTGAGTTAAACGGAAAACACATGTGGTTGTATTCGTCATTCAGAAATATCTTCCTGTCAGCTTCCATACAAGACTACGGTGGTTGATATTTCGACCATCTAATTATTGTTATTCTACTAACAAGATGTTGTTTGTCCGACTCAACAGAACATCAACTCATGCACAACAACACTTCGAATTGCATAGTCTACACGTTTAGTTGAGATAGAGAAGACTGAGTCTACATTGCAGCTCTAAATTCCGGACAGAAGCCAAAACTTAAAATAAGACAACTACCTTTATATAGTGACACTCAGTGACCATAGCACGCATTGCGAAAATGACAAGCACAATTCAGGCAGTAGCAAATGTCATTGAAGTGGTGTGAATTCCAAGAATCTTATCTGGGTTATCCTTCAATCGATAAACTGACATGCAATAACAAACACCCATACATACTCATCTCTCCTTAACACACCGATTCACTCTTCACAATTTCGAAAACCTGCACAAATCAATGCTACACAACACGGTCACATCACAGAAATGCTACACCGTACATTGTAAACAACAAACAATCGACATCATCAACATTACCCCGATGCATGTGACCTGTGAAAGAAAACTGGAGAGTCTCACACCTCCCTATCCATCAGTAAGTCAGTCACTAACTCCACGTATACGTTTTCCATGGTGTATTGATCTCTGCTGGATGCTTCCACTACGGGTGTGCACATCCAACATTGGGAACAGTCGGGTGATAAACAATACTGTCACTGTTCTCCTATCTCAATGGCGCCACACTCAGTGTCTCGAATAACTATCATCTCATCTCATCTCATCTCATCTCATCTCACATCACATCACATCATATCATATCATATCAAAACATATCATTGGCAAAATGGGCAACAACAATTGACGACTTACGATATGCTGTGATGTTTCTCAAACTTGGTCCACTCTTGATATTCAGGAGTGTGCATCCACGAACCAGAGTCTCCGTCAGATCAGTCTCAGTTGGTTGTGACCCACGAGACAAATGCAACTGCACACTCGCAATTGCTCGAACAGCTTCGATTGACACACGATTGACACCCGCGTCTGTGTGAGCTTGGCCAACGCCGTCAATCCAGATAATGAACCGAATGAAGACAACACGGACACAAGTAGCACCTCGAGAGAACTCTTCATTACCCAGACGTAGTCCGCTCAATAGCTGCAACGTGCAAAACAAAATCACACAGAATACACAATCAGTCGATTAGTCAGTCTCTCGATCCGTCGTTCGCTTGCTCATATATCAACACCACAACTACAATTTTCAATTAGACCGGTGTCGACCAGTGCTCATCATCGCTATCATCATTATAATGACCAAGTGCATGACCACCACTTCACAAATGGACAATCACTTACAATCACTGGCTTACTCACTCAACTAACCGATGCTCACACTACCAATGTGAACACCACACTCAATACACCAATTCATCACTACTCGCTTCAATCTCACACTTACATGACCACTAACTCATTACCTGCTCACCTACTTACTCACCACCTACTACTAACTTCTTACCTACTCACTAACTCATTGCCTTCTCACAAACGTCCGTTCTCTCTCACACACACACACTTCCACGCCTACTTACTAGCTCAGTCTGTACATTACACATTCATCAATTTGATTCAAACTATGCCACCTCTCTCTCTCTCTCTCTCTCTCTCTCTCTCTCTCTCTCTCTTGGAGATTTTCACTCCTGCATTTCACAGAACCACTTGTCCACTACACTGGTGTCATTCGAACAATTCACACACTGCTTCTCTGATTATTGCATACCAGTACATTAGGAACACAATAACCATAACCAATGCACACCTACCAGGTCACAAATCGACATCGACAAATTTCTGTACATGACACTTGACTCATTCGACAGATCAGTTGACCAATTCATGGGCACTGACCGTTCTCCAATATAGATCACAATATCCACCTCGAACACGGAGATCTCTACAAATGGAAAGGAGTGAAACATTTCAGATCGATGAAAGTAATCATATTCATATTCATGTCATGAATACTACTACCATTACTACCACTACTACCACTATTATTATTATTAACATTATTAATATTAATATTAATATTATTATTATTATTATTATTATTATTATTATTATTATTATTATTGTAAATATTATGATTATTATTTTTGTTAGTAGTGGTATTATTGTCATTGTTAGTAATTTTATTAGTAATATTATCATCACACTTGTCATTAGCTCTACTATCAGAGTGTTATTAGCATTTACGTCAACAACGATGATAATAGTGCAACAAACTGTACCAACACCTGCATAACGATGTTGATAATCCTGAACATGATGAAGACGATTAGGGGGAAGGATTTAATCACCGAATCGATGTTGGAGCTGATGGTTGTTAGTATAATCTTGACAAATGTTTTCATTTTACTGGTATTCTACCACTCGTCACAGTTCGCTCAAAATTGTAATTAAATGACAGATAAATGCACACAAAAACGCACTGGATAACAGTAGTGTAAGCAGACGAAGAAGAAATGACAACTTAATGTTAGCATCGCTGTTTTGCACTATGCCAACACGATCGCATTCAAAATCGTCTCCAGAAGATGGGTCTGTTCCTCAGTCAACTTCACTAGGTCAGCATTATGAGTTTCAGCCAGCTGTCCAATGCCCCGTGACAGAACCACCAATCCGAATTCATCCAGCTTCAATAATCTTAAGGAAATGACCGAATCCATCAATCAGTCAATCACTCATTCAATCCGTCGATCAATCAACACGTTGATCAAACAGTCAATTGGTCGATGTGTCAATCAGTACGACAGTCAGTCAACACAACACACACATGTCATGTGAATAATTTTTTTATACATCCTTCAAGTTTATATCGAACTTATGACATCTTGGTCGGATTCCTTAGCAATCACTTTCGGCGTGGACTTTTCTTGTGACTCATTATTCCACTTTGGAATTACTGATAATTTGGAGCGAATCATTTTGGAATAAATAAGTCGTGACATAGTTATGTTTCGGATGAATTCATATCCAATGTTGTTTTTCCTCATAATGCAGCTACTACGTGTGACGCTTCCTCGTATGCTTGCATATAAACAACGCATGACTGAAGGAAATAATTCAAATAGCGGAGGCTGGTACGTGTGATCTCGACAAGATGCGCTGCACTAGACGAGGAGCTACTGCACACAGTAAAAATAGACTCAAGGTTGCACAGACACAAATAGCAATGGTTTAAGACAGATGTAATCAGCACAGAAAAAGCATCAAAGAAATAATAGTCGCGAGAAAAGTAAAAGCATGTTGAAAAAATGAACGAACGAAGGGGAAAATACAATAAAACATAACACATGATAATAGTCCTTAAACTAGTGCTGGAAGTTACCACTCCTTCAGAGTTCGGCGCATATGACAGTCAGTAGGTCAGTTAGTTCAATGGTCTGTCAGCAACTAAATAAATAAACAAATCAATCAAGCAACCAACAGACACTGCACAATAACACATCTCGTGTGAGCGTATGTAGGAAAAGATATGCACAGCACTTGATGTTATGCAACATAATGTGAACCTACCGAAAGCAACTCCAGTAGTAGTTGATGACGGGCTTGTCATCAGCACAGTCGATCTTGCAGTCATCGTCTCCATCGACGTGGTCCTGATCGGCTGCCTCGATTCTGTCGACACACTTGTTTCTGTTTGTCCGAGACCGTCAGTCGACGTCACAGTGCTTGTTCGTGGACCTGTTGAGTTAAACGGAAAACACATGTGGTTGTATTCGTCATTCAGAAATATCTTCCTGTCAGCTTCCATACAGGACTACGGTGGTTGATATTTCGACCATCTAATTATTGTTATTCTACTAACAAGATGTTGTTTGTCCGACTCAACAGAACATCAACTCATGCACAACAACACTTCGAATTGCATAGTCTACACGTTTAGTTGAGATAGAGAAGACTGAGTCTACATTGCAGCTCTAAATTCCGGACAGAAGCCAAAACTTAAAATAAGACAACTACCTTTATATAGTGACACTCAGTGACCATAGCACGCATTGCGAAAATGACAAGCACAATTCAGGCAGTAGCAAATGTCATTGAAGTGGTGTGAATTCCAAGAATCTTATCTGGGTTATCCTTCAATCGATAAACTGACATGCAATAACAAACACCCATACATACTCATCTCTCCTTAACACACCGATTCACTCTTCACAATTTCGAAAACCTGCACAAATCAATGCTACACAACACGATCACATCACAGAAATGCTACACCGTACATTGTAAACAACAAACAATCGACATCATCAACATTACCCCGATGCATGTGACCTGTGAAAGAAAACTGGAGAGTCTCACACCTCCCTATCCATCAGTAAGTCAGTCACTAACTCCACGTATACGTTTTCCATGGTGTATTGATCTCTGCTGGATGGTTCCACTACGGGTGTGCACATCCAACATTGGGAACAGTCGGGTGATAAACAATACTGTCACTGTTCTCCTATCTCAATGGCGCCACACTCAGTGTCTCGCCTAACTATCATCTCATCTCATCTCATGTCATCTCACATCACAACACATCATATGATATTTGAACAAAAGCGCGCTTTTCGAACGGGAAGTTTAGTCCGAACTTGATTTGCATTTATCAAACTTTTGTTGTGTTCTTATGCAACAAATGTACCATTTCAGTTCCAAAGAATCTATCCTGAGCTATACGTTCGGTGGATTACTTTTTTTTGAGTTTCACTATTTTTATTATTTACCTGTGGTTTTGCCTCAGCTTACTATTCGGTTTTTTTGTTTTTCACGTATAGACTATTTTCAGTTTATATCACTCGTTTTGTCCATTTTTGTCCGTTTTTAGTGTGGTTTTTAGTGTTTTTTTAAAGGTCTTAGGCTCTTGCAAGCATCTATAACATAGTTTGCTTCAACACAGCCATGAAAAACTCATGCAAACGTCCGGGATGCCGTTTTGCTGTCACAACTGGCATGCAGTGCGACAACTGCAAATGTTGGTTCCACGAAGCATGCACAGATCTGACAGCAACTTTGGAGAGAGATACGCAACCAAGTCGATACACAGGCACTTCAGGAGGATCTGACGCGACTTCAAAGTTGGGCAGACGATAACGGACTTACCTTTAACACTTCAAAGTGTAAAGTAGTCCATCTGCGACATGTCGCAAACTACAGTTACAACTTAGGAAACTCCTCTCTAGTAGTATCCCAAGTCGAAAAAGATTTGAGAGTCCTGGTGCCCCATGACTTAAAGTCTTACGCTAACTGTGACAAAAATGCCTTCCGAGCAAACCTTGCACTGGTAACGTTGAGGCGCATTTTTGGACAGTTTGACGGAAGAACTTTCCACACAATCTTCAATAGTTTCATCCGTCCGCATTTAGAGTACGGAAACATAGTACTCCCCCCCTCACTCCAAAAGAACAAGGTCACTTTGGAGCGTATCCAACGGCGAGCCACGAAATCAGTTCGAGGACTCAAATCTAAGCCTTACGAAGAACGCCTCCGTTCACTAAACCTTTACCCATTAGAATATAGGCGTCTTAGAGGTGATTTATTAATGGCTTATAGTATTCTTAACACTTCTGGACATCCTCTTAAACACCTACTTAAGCTCAGTTCGAATAATAACCTAAGGGGTAACACCCAGAAACTGGAAACACAACATAGCAAGACGGAATGCAGACACAATTTCTACTCCTTAAGAGTTGTCAAAAGCTGGAATTCGCTGCCGGCCGAGCTAGTCCAAGCGACTTCTCAGGAGTCCTTCAAGAGGCAACTTGACCTATTCTTAAGGACCAAGGGCAGCATCACACTATGATTTACCGATTTCTTTCCCTTTTTTATTGTTAACATATCTAGGTTCCTACCTGGAGGATTTGGTGGTCCCCTGCTACTAAACACGGAAGCCTGTTAAGCGAAAGCTTCTTCAATTCCGTCCACAACCACTTGAACCATTTGAAAACATATCATTGGCAAAATGGGCAACAACAATTGACGACTTACGATATGCTGTGATGTTTCTCAAACTTGGTCCACTCTTGATATTCAGGAGTGTGCATCCACGAACCAGAGTCTCCGTCAGATCAGTCTCAGTTGGTTGTGACCCACGAGACAAATGCAACTGCACACTCGCAATTGCTCGAACAGCTTCGATTGAGACACGATTGACACCCGCGTCTGTGTGAGCTTGGCCAACGCCGTCAATCCAGATAATGAACCGAATGAAGACAACACGGACACAAGTAGCACCTCGAGAGAACTCTTCATTACCCAGACGTAGTCCGCTCAATAGCTGCAACGTGCAAAACAAAATCACACAGAATACACAATCAGTCGATTAGTCAGTCTCTCGATCCGTCGTTCGCTTGCTCATATATCAACACCACAACTACAATTTTCAATTAGACCGGTGTCGACCAGTGCTCATCATCGCTATCATCATTATAATGACCAAGTGCATGACCACCACTTCACAAATGGACAATCACTTACAATCACTGGCTTACTCACTCAACTAACCGATGCTCACACTACCAATGTGAACACCACACTCAATACACCAATTCATCACTACTCGCTTCAATCTCACACTTACATGACCACTAACTCATTACCTGCTCACCTACTTACTCACCACCTACTACTAACTTCTTACCTACTCACTAACTCATTGCCTTCTCACAAACGTCCGTTCTCTCTCACACACACACACTTCCACGCCTACTTACTAGCTCAGTCTGTACATTACACATTCATCAATTTGATTCAAACTATGCCACCTCTCTCTCTCTCTCTCTCTCTCTCTCTCTCTTGGAGATTTTCACTCCTGCATTTCACAGAACCATTTGTCCACTACACTGGTGTCATTCGAACAAATCACACACTGCTTCTCTGATTATTGCATACCAGTACACTAGGAACACAATAACCATAACCAATGCACACCTACCAGGTCACAAATCGACATCGACAAATTTCTGTACATGACACTTGACTCATTCGACAGATCAGTTGACCAATTCATGGGCACTGACCGTTCTCCAATATAGATCACAATATCCACCTCGAACACGGAGATCTCTACAAATGGAAAGGAGTGAAACATTTCAGATCGATGAAAGTAATCATATTCATATTCATGTCATGAATACTACTACCATTACTACCACTACTACCACTATTATTATTATTATTATTATTATTATTATTATTATTATTATTATTATTGTAAATATTATGATTATTATTTTTGTTAGTAGTGGTATTATTGTCATTGTTAGTAATTTTATTAGTAATATTATCATCACACTTGTCATTAGCTCTACTATCAGAGTGTTATTAGCATTTACGTCAACAACGATGATAATAGTGCAACAAACTGTACCAACACCTGCATAACGATGTTGATAATCCTGAACATGATGAAGACGATTAGGGGGAAGGATTTAATCACCGAATCGATGTTGGAGCTGATGGTTGTTAGTATAATCTTGACAAATGTTTTCATTTTACTGGTATTCTACCACTCGTCACAGTTCGCTCAAAATTGTAATTAAATGACAGATAAATGCACACAAAAACGCACTGGATAACAGTAGTGTAAGCAGACGAAGAAGAAATGACAACTTAATATTAGTATCGCTGTTTTGCACTATGCCAACACGATCGCATTCAAAATCGTCTCCAGAAGATGGGTCTGTTCCTCAGTCAACTTCACTAGGTCAGCATTATGAGTTTCAGCCAGCTGTCCAATGCCCCGTGACAGAACCACCAATCCGAATTCATCCAGCTTCAATAATCTTAAGGAAATGACCGAATCCATCAATCAGTCAATCACTCATTCAATCCGTCGATCAATCAACACGTTGATCAAACAGTCAATTGGTCGATGTGTCAATCAGTACGACAGTCAGTCAACACAACACACACATGTCATGCGAATAATTTTTTTATACATCCTTCAAGTTTATATCGAACTTATGACATCTTGGTCGGATTCCTTAGCAATCACTTTCGGCGTGGACTTTTCTTGTGACTCATTATTCCACTTTGGAATTACTGATAATTTGGAGCGAATCATTTTGGAATAAATAAGTCGTGACATAGTTATGTTTCGGATGAATTCATATCCAATGTTGTTTTTCCTCATAATGCAGCTACTACGTGTGACGCTTCCTCGTATGCTTGCATATAAACAACGCATGACTGAAGGAAATAATTCAAATAGCGGAGGCTGGTACGTGTGATCTCGACAAGATGCGCTGCACTAGACGAGGAGCTACTGCACACAGTAAAAATAGACTCAAGGTTGCACAGACACAAATAGCAATGGTTTAAGACAGATGTAATCAGCACAGAAAAAGCATCAAAGAAATAATAGTCGCGAGAAAAGTAAAAGCATGTTGAAAAAATGAACGAACGAAGGGGAAAATACAATAAAACATAACACATGATAATAGTCCTTAAACTAGTGCTGGAAGTTATCACTCCTTCAGAGTTCGGCGCATATGACAGTCAGTAGGTCAGTTAGTTCAATGGTCTGTCAGCAACTAAATAAATAAACAAATCAATCAAGCAACCAATAGACACTGCACAATAACACATCTCGTGTGAGCGTATGTAGGAAAAGATATGCACAGCACTTGATGTTATGCAACATAATGTGAACCTACCGAAAGCAACTCCAGTAGTAGTTGATGACGGGCTGGTCATCAGCACAGTCGATCTTGCAGTCATCGTCTCCATCGACGTGGTCCTGATCGGCTGCCTCGATTCTGTCGACACACTTGTTTCTGTTTGTCCGAGACCGTCAGTCGACGTCACAGTGCTTGTTCGTGGACCTGTTGAGTTAAACGGAAAACACATGTGGTTGTATTCGTCGTTCAGAAATATCTTCCTGTCAGCTTCCATACAGGACTACGGTGGTTGATATTTCGACCATCTAATTATTGTTATTCTACTAACAAGATGTTGTTTGTCCGACTCAACAGAACATCAACTCATGCACAACAACACTTCGAATTGCATAGTCTACACGTTTAGTTGAGATAGAGAAGACTGAGTCTACATTGCAGCTCTAAATTCCGGACAGAAGCCAAAACTTAAAATAAGACAACTACCTTTATATAGTGACACTCAGTGACCATAGCACGCATTGCGAAAATGACAACCACAATTCAGGCAGTAGCAAATGTCATTGAAGTGGTGTGAATTCCAAGAATCTTATCTGGGTTATCCTTCAATCGATAAACTGACATGCAATAACAAACACCCATACATACTCATCTCTCCTTAACACACCGATTCACTCTTCACAATTTCGAAAACCTGCACAAATCAATGCTACACAACACGGTCACATCACAGAAATGCTACACCGTACATTGTAAACAACAAACAATCGACATCATCAACATTACCACGATGCATGTGACCTGTGAAAGAAAACTGGAGAGTCTCACAACTCCCTATCCATCAGTAAGTCAGTCATTAACTCCACGTATACGTTTTCCATGGTGTATTGATCTCTGCTGGATGGTTCCACTACGGGTGTGCACATCCAACATTGGGAACAGTCGGGTGATAAACAATACTGTCACTGTTCTCCTATCTCAATGGCGCCACACTCAGTGTCTCGCCTAACTATCATCTCATCTCATCTCATCTCATCTCACATCACATCACATCATATCATATCATATCATATCAAAACATATCATTGGCAAAATGGGCAACAACAATTGACGACTTACGATATGCTGTGATGTTTCTCAAACTTGGTCCACTCTTGATATTCAGGAGTGTGCATCCACGAACCAGAGTCTCCGTCAGATCAGTCTCAGTTGGTTGTGACCCACGAGACAAATGCAACTGCACACTCGCAATTGCTCGAACAGCTTCGATTGAGACACGATTGACACCCGCGTCTGTGTGAGCTTGGCCAACACCGTCAATCCAGATAATGAACCGAATGAAGACAACACGGACACAAGTAGCACCTCGAGAGAACTCTTCATTACCCAGACGTAGTCCGCTCAATAGCTGCAACGTGCAAAACAAAATCACACAGAATACACAATCAGTCGATTAGTCAGTCTCTCGATCCGTCGTTCGCTTGCTCATATATCAACACCACAACTACAATTTTCAATTAGACCGGTGTCGAACAGTGCTCATCATCGCTATCATCATTATAATGACCAAGTGCATGACCACCACTTCACAAATGGACAATCACTTACAATCACTGGCTTACTCACTCAACTAACCGACGCTCACACTACCAATGTGAACACCACACTCAATACAACAATTCATCACTACTCGCTTCAATCTCACACTTACATGACCACTAACTCATTACCTGCTCACCTACTTACTCACCACCTACTACTAACTTCTAACCTACTCACTAACTCATTGCCTTCTCACAAACGTCCGTTCTCTCTCACACACACACACTTCCACGCCTACTTACTAGCTCAGTCTGTACATTACACATTCATCAATTTGATTCAAACTATGCCACCTCTCTCTCTCTCTCTCTCTCTCTCTCTTGGAGATTTTCACTCCTGCATTTCACAGAACCATTTGTCCACTACACTGGTGTCATTCGAACAAATCACACACTGCTTCTCTGATTATTGCATACCAGTACACTAGGAACACAATAACCATAACCAATGCACACCTACCAGGTCACAAATCGACATCGACAAATTTCTGTACATGACACTTGACTCATTCGACAGATCAGTTGACCAATTCATGGGCACTGACCGTTCTCCAATATAGATCACAATATCCACCTCGAACACGGAGATCTCTACAAATGGAAAGGAGTGAAACATTTCAGATCGATGAAAGTAATCATATTCATATTCATGTCATGAATACTACTACCATTACTACCACTACTACCACTATTATTATTATTATTATTATTATTATTATTATTATTATTATTGTAAATATTATGATTATTATTTTTGTTAGTAGTGGTATTATTGTCATTGTTAGTAATTTTATTAGTAATATTATCATCACACTTGTCATTAGCTCTACTATCAGAGTGTTATTAGCATTTACGTCAACAACGATGATAATAGTGCAACAAACTGTACCAACACCTGCATAACGATGTTGATAATCCTGAACATGATGAAGACGATTAGGGGGAAGGATTTAATCACCGAATCGATGTTGGAGCTGATGGTTGTTAGTATAATCTTGACAAATGTTTTCATTTTACTGGTATTCTACCACTCGTCACAGTTCGCTCAAAATTGTAATTAAATGACAGATAAATGCACACAAAAACGCACTGGATAACAGTAGTGTAAGCAGACGAAGAAGAAATGACAACTTAATATTAGTATCGCTGTTTTGCACTATGCCAACACGATCGCATTCAAAATCGTCTCCAGAAGATGTGTCTGTTCCTAAGTCAAATTCACTAGATCAGCATTTCCGGTTTGATCATTTATATGTATATATATGTGTAGTCAATATATCAAATGTGATTATGAATTTTGATTTCATATCATTAATTCTATGCTTTATCGGAAGCACGATTAATGAAATAATTTAAATTTATGTGATGTATAAGATAATAATGCCCATACATTTACATAAAAACAATCAGAGTTGAATGGTGAATAAATAACAAGTTATAATTGTATCTTGTTGGGAATTTTTAAGTTGGGTTGTCCTGAAGTTAGAATAAGCTATGTGGGCTCGACATATATCCAGCCACTACATATTACGTGTCATTACGAAGGTTTGACTTGATAATCTCAAATAAATTAGGCATTAAGAAGATGGTTTTTATTAAAAGGTAATATATTTTTAATATCCCAATGAGTAGAAAAATCAAGCTTTTAAATTTTCCGACGTTTCGTGACTCAGTGTAAGCCACCTCCTCAGAGAATAAATAGACAAATTAAATCAACCCAAATTTAAATAATGCCTTCTTTGGATAGATACATTCATTATATTTAGTCTTATAAGTGGAAGTCTTTCTTTCATTTCACAATAAATGAATTAGTCTATTCTGTTAAATTACGTCCACAGATATTCTGTGTATTATTACAGTTTACAAGAAATCTTGGTATGTCATGGTATTAGCTAGCTCACTTGCTCATCTTCTATCGATTATCTCTTACTTACTTCATCGTTCCGTCATTCCAGCTGTTATTATAATTACTTTCTGTTTGTAATTCTATTACCTTCAATTCAATCTCAACCATCTTCTGCCTGGAATTCCATTTCTGATTCGTGTGACATACTACTTATTTCTGCCAACATAAGTAATATATATCAAACTATTAGAATTTGTGGACAAAATTATAACTAAATTATTAAAGAATAAACTCAAACTTATTCATAGATTATTTTTTGTTGTTGTCATAATCTACCTTCTAAATTGTTTAATGTAGTACCAGTTGTTGGTTTTATCATAGGTAACGTAGTTGTTTGATTGATTTTCATCTTGTCTGTAATAGTCATTATTGGTAATGTTTGAGTGGTTCTAAGATCAGTTGATATACCTAAAATATGAATTGAATTGTATAATCTAATTAGTAAAACAAAAACCGAATTCATCTGTATAAAGTGAACAATTTCTCATTTCTACTTGAAGTAATCCACAGTAAATTTATCAAGAAAGAATTACTTTAGATAAGAAATGTATTGGAAATATATTCTATTCAGTTAGGTTACTTGGATAGATTGAATTGTAGTTAGTAACATACAATCTATCATGTTATAACTTTAAGCATAGCTAGTTATCACCTGGTTTACTCACCAAACGAAATACCACTTATTCAATCTTAGCACTGTGCCAAACCAATGACGTTCGAACAGTATGAGCAGCCTAGCGTCTTATTGGTCCTTTTTCCGTCTAGCCCGTCCAGTTGAATCCAGAACGCCAACAGCTTTCACTATGCAAATAATTTATTTCAAACATACTTGGTTTATATACCAGCCAAACGGACTGCATCACACCATAAAGTAGGAAATAACAAGTAGCTGTGAACGTTGGAGACATTAATTAGTGAACTGAACATAACTTAAGAACAATCAGTTGTGCAATAATAATCCATAGGTCAAAATGAAGCTTATAATAAGAGGAATATAAATATACAAAACCCAGTTACTCAACAATAATACAATAGGAATATATATCACATTAGTCTATGAATAGTTCTCGGAATTTACCCGTAGTTTAATCATCACTAGGATCCAACATACCAGTGTACTAAAAAATTCACTGCAACTGTTACACTTAAGTTACTATAGATAGTTTTTTTGGATTGACGAATATCATTGTTTACATCATGGACAAGTCTTAAACGAACACTGGGACTCAAGAAGCGGTGAACAAGCTTCTTGTCATAGTATAGAATTTCGTTTTCAACAGTGCCTATATACAATGTCATCAAGAATCAAACTTGATACTTTATGATCTCACGATGAGTATTTATTACTGTTTCATATCTGAGTTGGCATCTTACATATTTAGCCTCAATCAGTTCTAGATATCATGCAATCAATTTTAATGCTTAAGGTGACTAACTGCTTTATAACGAACATGATACTTGATCTGATTAATTTTTGCTTTGGGAGAATAGAAGTGCGCACATCATGTAAACATTCACATTGAAATGACTGTCTACTGCATTTTCTAAACTTTATTTACATTCAGGAAACTAGGTTTAACCTTCAAGATGTCTATTTCAAGAAATAATATGACTTTTGTAATACCATTCCACCAAGATTTAGTGATATGCTTGCTGCAAACTATATGAATCTTTCTGAAACTAGCCAAGTATTCACAATTGATTGATCATGGCGTAATGATAAAAATTTCACATGTTTCAAGGCGTTCTTAGTGCAAATCGAATCCTATCGACCAAGTTGCAATGTGGCAACTAGTCAATAGTGAATATATCTCAGTCGTACAGGAGGTCAGTCGCGGCCCGAACAGCTCAGTCGTAACGTCTCTGACTGTGAAGCTTGTTGAAACAGGATCGAATGTGTCATGGAGCTGACGAGTGTCAAATAGAATTACAACCGAGTCCAGGGTTTCCTGTTGACTACCTCCAACCACCATCTTACTAGTCAACTGTTCTCATTAACAAAATCATATTCAAACATTAATCTAAACTGTAATTCATAAAATTGTATAAATTAAAATCTTACTTGAAAATTGTATATCAATTAAAATGAATTGTGATGTGATTGTTAAGTGCTTCCATCCTTCATTTAAAATCTCTGTCATCCTATTGTCTATAATTGGTAATGGTAGTAGTAATTTCGTTTCTAATGTAATTGTCACTGAGATCTGACTACTAACATTATAGGTTACGGTGGAATTTCGAAGATTAGTGGTATTATTATTATTATTACTATTATTATTACTATTATCATGCATACTTTGCATTGTTATAGGAACTTTAGTGAATTTAATGTTAAGAATCTTGAGAGATAAAGCAAATTGTAAATCTAATATTTCCATTACATTGTTGATCTATAACGTAACAAACAAAAGAAAAAAAGAAAGAAATTATCAGAATATATGCTTTGTGAAGATTGTAGTAATTGAACAGTCGAAGTGATGAGTCGATTAAAGCTAGATGACCATGGAAAACATTTAAGCACTGGAAACGGTTCAAATCCTGTGAGCAAGATCATGGTTGCACAATGCTGAGGAGCCGCATACCGGGACGAAACGGCCATCCAGTGCTTCTAGGTTTTCAGTAGTGATCTAGATTTAATCAACTTATGAATTCAATTATGAAAGAAATTACTTTGATTTAATGTATATTCAAACTGTGTTTGAATAGAATTCGGTAGCAGGACAATACCTTTATAATAGAAACATAAAAATAGAAATTGATTAAGGATAAGTCTTAGGATCAAAAATTAGGAATTGTAATTCCTTACAAGTATGTTTAGTTTATTGATCATACTTCCCATTAAGACACAATTATTCCCCGTCCTAAATTTGGATAATATAATAAGAAGACGAAGTTTACCAGGTCTATACTTGACGTATATCAGCACAATACAAATAATCTAGTTATGCATATATACTTGTCAAGATCATCTTAGATGCAAAATTACAGGTCAACTATACAACATAGGTTAGAAGAAACAAAGTGATTCGCATAACAAAGTGATTCCGAATACATAAGGGTGATTTGAAATTTCGTTTAGTCAAGGCATCAATAAACCACATATGCAACACTAGGATGGTTGATCTGATATGATTCATCCATGGACCATCGTAACTTTATAAATGATCTAAGAAACTTGTCTCTCCTATGTTTTTATTTGACCATTGGAATTCATTTGTTTCTGTAACCACTTCGATGTGAATTCAGTCATCATTAATTTGAGATCACGATTATTTCTCTCCTGTAAGTATATATGCACATACATATTAACTGATAAACAAAGTGGGATTTAATACACTTGTTTACATGATGTTTAGGATTTTGTTGGAACCGTGATCTACAATTTTCGATGATGATGAGTTGGTCTGAGTTAAAAAGCCTACTAATCTCTGGTTTAAATCTTCATTTAAAAAGAAGATCAATTCAATCACCTCTAAATAGTAGGATAATCTGGCCCCTTTAGTTTAATCCCAAAATGTCATAAGTTTCATCATACTGTGGCATATCTATCGGCTGATGTTGTGAACAGGGAAACAAGAAGCCTTGACAAACTACGAAAGCTGTTTATTCAAAGCTTGTAAAACATTGACATTTATTTTTGTCAGAAGGGGTTTGTGGAGATTTTAGAAATTTTCACAGATTTAAATCATGAGTCAGTTGAAGCTAGACCACCATTGAAAACCTGGAAGCACTGGACGGCCGTTTCGTCCTAGTATGGGACTCCTCAGCAGTGCGCATCCACGATCCTGCTCAAAAAGTTCGAACCGTGTCCAGTGACTGACTTCAAGAGATACTCCTGGAGTTCTAGTGGGAAGCCGTTACCAGTGGAGTTCAACCAGGTCTGTTGTGAGATATCAGCTCACTGAAGACAATGGTATATGGTGGCGCAACTTCGTGGATTGGTTGAAGTTAGACATTAACACCGTTGGATGCCGGCTCAGTGGTCTAATGGTTAAGTGCTCGCGCGCGAAGCCAGTAGGTCCTGGGTTCGAGCCCCGCGTGGTGCGGGATCGTGGATGCGCACTGCTGAGGAGTCCCATACTAGGACGAAACGGCCGTCCAGTGCTTCCAGGTTTTCAATGGTGGTCTAGCTTCAACGGACTCATGATTTAAATCTGTGAAAATTTATTTTTGTCCCTATTTTATTCTATAGGACATGAGCTTTCTTTCGATTTATCATTCATTGCCATGCCCCCTTTTGTTCCGAGGCTATTGTAATTTAAACATAGTACTTTGCACTTTATTTTCTGCCGTAATTCCCAGTTTCGGACATAATTGTATTTTCCCAAATTATTGTACGTTGTGGTCAGGTAAATCACCTATATATTCATGTACCTTTTTGCACTAATCTAAATTCGGAGATTTAACAGAAAATCAGGATATCGCAATACGGCAAATAGTGTCCCAACTGTTTTGTCTTCTCTCATTTACGTGCTTGCCAGTCAATCAGGTGCTAGAATAGTTCTCTTCCCTCTACCCCACCTCGAACTCACGCATACTAGCCTCAAGGTTAAACCGATCGGCTTATTGCGTCAAGGTCTTCATCTAGAGTAGACGGATCAAGGTCATGACAGCTGATAAGCATCATTATCTTTCTTATCTCTCGTCTCCTAATTTGTATAGTTAACCTATTATTTTTCATCTGAATGTCTCAGCAAATCTGTGTATACATATGATCTAATTGTTCATAGTGTATTGACCTAATATACATCAGGTATAGTTACAGCAGACTTCATCTTCTCATTGATTTATCCAAATTATCTCATTAGATTGTAAATAACCAACGTCACTTCGTTTATCCACTGACCTAATATATATATCATAATTGTAAGGATGAGACCTGTAGATTAGGATTTTTCATTTGTTGCTTATATGAAATAATGAAAATTCGATATATGAGACATTTCTCAATGATTTGTCCAGATTTTTATCAATGTTCCCTTTTTTCAATTATTACCAGTTTAATAATAAAAGAAAGCGATTTTATGGTTAAATTCATGAGTCAATTGAAGCTAGACCACCATAAAAGACCTGGAAGAACTGGATGGCCGTTTCGTCCTAGTATTGGCCTTACAGTACTTCGAAGTGTTACATACTAGAAGGAAACAACTATCCAGTGTTTCCAGGTTCTCCATGGTGATCTTACATCAATCTTCTAAAGATCTACTATATATATCACAAAAATGCATCGATTATATCCTACAAGAAATTAACATACTTGATTTTGTATATCTAATGAGAAATTCTGATAAATTTCACTTGAATTATTAATTAAATCATCTAACCATTCTATTGGTTGAAATGATTTTGAAAAATAAATTATCCCACTGATTTGACATAGAATTGGATCTGTAAATTCAATTGAAATATATTATAATCAAAGCGAAATAAACAGGTGAGTTCAATTATATTCAATATAATGGTAGATAAACATTCATGTTTGAGTGAGATTAGAATTTACGAATGTTGGGTCAAGATGAACATAATGAATGGTAACTTTGGGATCCTTTTATGGACCAATACTGAATGTATATTTTTATCGTATAATTGTTAAATAACTAAAATTTTCATATTCATATTCCTTTCATTATAAACTTTATTTTCACCTGTGAACCAATATTATACGTTTTACCATTCTTGAATTATGCCGTGTCTAGTATTGGTCACTGTCTTCCACATTCACAGCCACATTTGGCCAAATCTTGTACAAATGTTGTTTCCTATTTTATTCCACCTTGTGGTCTGTTTGATTGGCATATAAACTGAGTATGTTTGAGATATGAGGATTCATATAGCAGAGGCTGAGACTGGTGTTCTGGACTTAACTGGCCTGGCTAGGTGGAAAGCAGGACAAGTCAGAAATCTAGGCTGCTCGCACGAGTTCTACGTGTCCTTAATTCGATCGATAATTCGCTGCTTCTGATTGGCGTCTTTGGGCTATAACAATTGGTGACGGGGTAAAAAAACGATCCAAAGTTTGTCTGTGATTGGACGAAATTCAGTCAAATTATTTCGAGCAATCAGCATCCAGATTTGTCATCAGTGCCCTTGAACGACATTGGCCATTATTCATACAGTAATTTTCATTGCCGGTGATGATTAAAAAAAACTCTGCCTTCCGATCGATTACAGGTACTCTTTCAGAGACAAGTGGCGTTCTTAGTCAAATTACGCACGCAGCTGCTGAGTCACTCGTGCTTTGGAGATGCGACGGAAGTGGATGGATTAATTTCTCAGTTGCACATTGAGCTGGAAAAATGATTGCAGCCTCCATGAATCCTCGACAAACCGTATTTCAAACGATACAGCAGTCACTCAAGATCCGCCCAGTGGTCCAGTACTCTCCATTTCAGAAACATGCCCGGTAATGGATTGCAACTCCATTATCCCCGAAACAGCATGTGCAGACAGTGACTTTTATCCAGCTGACAAACAGACGCCCTGTTAAATGTCCATAGGATTGTCGCAGTAACCGCCCATGAAACAGAAAACAAATCGAGCAGTACACTGAATGCAGCTGCTTCAAATGGATCTCATCATTCAGCGACAGAAGTTTCTGACGAATCAAATTATCGAAATTCTCTTTTACCAGGAAATATGTCAGATAGATCAAACGATGATTAATTTTTTATAGATTCTGACTACATTGATGATTCATTATCTAGAAATGAGGTTCCCAATAAATCTGTTCACAATATTTCGGAAGAATCAAACTTCGGTTACCTCATATCAAGCCTCGTGAAGCCTCACCACTTAGTCACTCTCTCTGTTCAATGCGAAAAATATGTTTTAAATAAATTCAAATTAATTGTAACTTGGGAATATGAGGATCCAACAGTGTTTGGTGGGGGAGGATGAACCCGGAGAATTTAAAATCCGGATATCAACACCGGATCTTCAAAAAAGGGGAGGTGTGTTAGGTCTCGATAAACATAATGAACGGTAACTTTGGTATCCTTTCATGGACCAATACTAAACGTATATATTTATCGCATAACTGTTAAATAATCCAACTATTCATATTCCTCTTATTATAAGCTTTATTTTGACCTGTGAACCATTATTATACTGTAGTGTCAGTCATTATTTTAAGCCCGTAATATATCTTATTCTAGTTTTCGGACAAACCAATCTATTCATTCTACTTGAGTCATATTCTGACCTTGTTAATTATTCGCTTATCAGTCTTGACTGTTTTTATATGAGCGTACACTTCATATCACATGTCTGTAGTTTATATTGTCTGCCTATAAATATTGAGTAACGGCTGGCTAAAAATGAGTTGGCTTACCAGCCATCTCCCCTGCGTGTCATTTTGCTTTGTTCTATTACATTCACTTTACATACAAAATATGTGTATTCAAAGGTCATTCTCGTTAATTGACTTACCTGAATTCCGTTATTGACTAACGTGATTTAAGTCGATGGTTGTATACGAGGATGAGCGATAACAAACATTCATACGATCTAATTGGAGTCAGATCAACGGGCCACTAAATTGGTAAACTTTTGTCAACGTCATTCGATCTAAACGACGACAAAACGACGGGCCACTAGAATACGTTTTACAATTCTTGAATTATGCCGTGTCTATTATTAGTCACTGTCTCCCACATTCACAGCCACATTTGGCCAAATCTTGTACAAATGTTGTTTCCTATTTTATTCCACCTTGTGGTCTGTTTGGTTGATATATAAACTGAATATGTTTGAAATATAAGGATTCAAATAACAGAGGCTGAGACTGGTGTTCTGGACTTAACTGGCCTGGCTAGGTGGAAAGCAGGACAAATCAGAAATCTAGGCTGCTCTCACGTGTTTCATGTGTCCTTAATTCGATCGATAATTCGCTGCTTCTGATTGGCGGCTTGGGGCTGTAACAACGGAGGACTTTTGTGTGATTTTGAAATGATGTTAACAATCGCAATCAACTTACTAGGACTAAATCAGGGTTCTAAATCAGTGTTAAGATTATGGTTTATGATTGATAGTTGAGGGTTATAGTTACGTGTTCGGTTTAGGGTTTTCATCAGGAACGGACATCATCTAACATGTTAAAACGCTATTTAGTCAAGTGAATGAATGAATTTAGCGCCAAAATCTTTGATCTGTTTTCTAAATGTGATTGGCTCTTGCATAAATCAGTCTTACAAAATTTTCACAAAATTGGAGTTTTACAATTAATAGATAAGAATTAACTCCCTGTTAATTACATAATCATTTTACAGAAAATTCTACAATGTAGTTCATCGATGTTTTTGAATGAATGCATATCATTAAGGTTAACATATAAATATACTCGTTCTAGTAAGCTAAAACAATAAGGTTCACAAATTGAATTACATTATATGTAGGCATCTCCAATTGTCATATCTCCGAAATTCCCAGATTTCACAAGATTGTTTGTTTATTTCAGTAGACACATTAGAGATACTTTCATTGACTAGACCAGTAATATTGAGGGATATAATTCTTTGTAATTCCCAAAATGCCCCACTTATTATGCAAATTATGTTAAATGTTTAAGCTATTCATTAAGCTTCAGTATTGTTTGACAAATATTTATTGACTTTATCCTTCATATTTTTGAATCGTTGATCACGAACATATTTAAATATATCTTATGAACCTTCAATGTTACTCATGATTGATTCATATCGTAAATTATGTTGAGACTACTCTATGTAAATGTGCGCATACACTGAATACCTTTGAGGCATCTTGAGTTATGAAATAGAATTAGGATGGTGGTTGGAGGTAGTCAACAGGAAACCTTGGATATAGGTTTCGTGCTACTTGGCACTCGTCAGAAAGGTGTACCTGTAATCTTGAGGGGACTGATGCTCCCTGTCACCCAGCTACACAGTTACCACTGATCTATCCGGGCCGCGACTGACCTCCTTTAGGACCGAGATGTATTACCAATTGATTGATCACTGGGTGATGTACAGTCACCAAGGCTGGTGGCCACATTGCAACTTGGTCGATAGGATTCGATCTGCACTAAGAAGGACCTGGCATACATGACATTGATCGCCACCCAGTGATCAATGAATTGGAGATAGAATTAATTGTTTTCATGAATCAGAATAGAGATAAATAAGTGTATTAAATCGTTCACGTCGTTCACATCGTGTAGATTATCATATTGTTCATATTTGGAGTGAATTTTAATCAATAAACAGGATAATCTAAATCATGACAGGTGAAATCAAAATTCATAGTCAATATACAAGTAACCGGTTTTATGAACTCATTAGTGAACTGGATAGCATGTGATGTTTTTGATGAGAAAGCTACTAGGTACAAATCTTGTAGTAATTAACAAATCGAATACAGGTATATCCAGTTGATAAGAACAAATAACATGAAATATTTATCTAAAATATAATTACTAGCCATATCGCATATTTCCTCTATTTTCAAATATTCTTATTGAAATGAGTTAGAATAAACAATGACAAAAGTTTCATTTAAAGAATACTTGATGAAATTTAATTTCTTAGGTAATCATGATAATATTACTAATCCTATTCTATAATGTATCAACTTACAATCAATTTGTGGTTTTGAAGTAGTTGTAGAGTGTATTCGTGTAAATTGATCATCAGTTCGATTATGAACTACTGGAATTGTTGAAGCAGGTAAAGTTATTTTAGATTGTGTGGTTAGTTCTTTATATTCAGATGAAGTAGATCTTTGTGTAGTCAGTGTTGTTGAACTAGAGGTTTCTGTAACGAAAGAATTATATATATATAATTATTATTAGACGAAGAATCTATTATTCAATAAAATTAAAGATATTTCTGTTGGGGACGTTAGATCCTCAGAAATCACTTAGGAAACCATCTAATTTTGTAATTTATTTACAACATTTGAATTTCTTTGTTTTCTCGCCAAAGGCGCTCTTGTCAGCTTCATGTCGTATTCCCCACTGGGAAATATCTTCAGTGCTATTGGTCCGTAGCGTCTTTTAGTATGCTACTTGGTAACTCTCCTCAAGGACAGTTTTGCACTGTATATATACGTTTTGAAATGTGTTTGTTGTGATCGTTCATTTCTGGCTCTTTACACGATATAATTCCCCATTCCAAGCTTGGACGTCTCTCTCTAGTTAGCGGGGCTGGGACGCATCAATAGCTAGCTTACTGATCTTTGATCAACGAGTCATGCTTTCGTTCGCCAAGTAAGTGGACTCGTGATAGCTTCAAACCTAGTAATTTCTTTCAAAGGGTATTACATGATGATTTGCTATATCATGGTTCGTTATTTATGATTGGTACATATATGATTTACATGAGCGTGCATCCATAAAAAGTTACATATTCACATGACATCATAAATAGTACATCAATGAAATTTTAACTAGTCGCATTCACATGGCCACTGTAAACTGATGTTAATTTAAATAAATGTTATTAATGGGCAGGATTGCATGTGAATAATGTTAATTCACCAGAGATCCCAAATAGATTTGGCAGATATTAATTAAGTTATAACAGAAAACCAAATCGCACAATGATAATCAATAAAAATAATCGAATTTTAAAAAAAACTAAACATATTTTCTCTGTTTCGATTACACAGGCGGCAAACAAGTGAACCAATCAGACAAAAACACTTAATCAAATTTTAATGATCATAAATGAAGAAAGATGGATAAGATTGTCGCATAAGAATAACAGTTAACACACATATATCTCGTGTGAAAGTATGTAGGAAAAGATATGCACAGCACTTGATGTTATGCAACATAATGTGAACCTACCGAAAGCAACTCCAGTAGTAGTTGATGACGGGCTGGTCATCAGCACAGTCGATCTTGCAGTCATCGTCTCCATCGACGTGGTCCTGATCGGCTGCCTCGATTCTGTCGACACACTTGTTTCTGTTTGTCCGAGACCGTCAGTCGACGTCACAGTGCTTGTTCGTGGACCTGTTGAGTTAAACGGAAAACACATGTGGTTGTATTCGTCGTTCAGAAATATCTTCCTGTCAGCTTCCATACAGGACTACGGTGGTTGATATTTCGACCATCTAATTATTGTTATTCTACTAACAAGATGTTGTTTGTCCGACTCAACAGAACATCAACTCATGCACAAAAACACTTCGAATTGCATAGTCTACACGTTTAGTTGAGATAGAGAAGACTGAGTCTTCATTGCAGCTCTAAATTCCGGACAGAAGCCAAAACTTCAAATAAGACAACTACCTTTATATAGTGACACTCAGTGACCATAGCACGCATTGCGAAAATGACAAGCACAATTCAGGCAGTAGCAAATGTCATTGAAGTGGTGTGAATTCCAAGAATCTTATCTGGGTTATCCTTCAATCGATAAACTGACATGCAATAACAAACACCCATACATACTCATCTCTCCTTGACACACCGATTCACTCTTCACAATTTACAAAACCTGCACAAATCAATGCTACACAACACGGTCACATCACAGAAATGCTACACCGTACATTGTAAACAACAAACAATCGACATCATCAACATTACCACGATGCATGTGACCTGTGAAAGAAAACTGGAGAGTCTCACACCTCCCTATCCATCAGTAAGTCAGTCACTAACTCCACGTGTACGTTTTCCATGGTGTATTGATCTCTCAGCTGGATGCTTCCACTACGGGTGTGCACATCCGAGATTGGGAACAATCGGATGATAAACAATACTGTCACTGTCCTCCTATCTCAATGGCGCCACACTCAGTGTCTCGAATAACTATCATTTCATTTCATCTCATCTCATCTCATCTCATCTCACATCACATCACATCATATCATATCATATCATATCAAAACATATCATTGGCAAAATGGGCAACAACAATTGACGACTTACGATATGCTGTGATGTTTCTCAAACTTGGTCCACTCTTGATATTCAGGAGTGTGCATCCACGAACCAGAGTCTCCGTCAGATCAGTCTCAGTTGGTTGTGACCCACGAGACAAATGCAACTGCACACTCGCAATTGCTCGAACAGCTTCGATTGAGACACGATTGACACCCGCGTCTGTGTGTGCTTGGCCAACGCCGTCAATCCAGATAATGAACCGAATGAAGACAACACGGACACAAGTAGCACCTCGAGAGAACTCTTCATTACCCAGACGTAGTCCGCTCAATAGCTGCAACGTGCAAAACAAAATCACACAGAATACACAATCAGTCGATTAGTCAGTCTCTCGATCCGTCGTTCGCTTGCTCATATATCAACACCACAACTACAATTTTCAATTAGACCGGTGTCGAACAGTGCTCATCATCGCTATCATCATTATAATGACCAAGTGCATGACCACCACTTCACAAATGGACAATCACTTACAATCACTGGCTTACTCACTCAACTAACCGACGCTCACACTACCAATGTGAACACCACACTCAATACACCAATTCATCACTACTCACTTCAATCTCACACTTGCATGACCACTAACTCATTACCTGCTCACCTACTCACTCACCACCTACTACTAACTTCTTACCTACTCACTAACTCATTGCCTTCTCACAAACGTCCGTTCTCTCTCACACACACACACACACTTCCACGCCTACTTACTAGCTCAGTCTGTACATTACACATTCATCAATTTGATTCAAACTATGCCACCTCTCTCTCTCTCTCTCTCTCTCTCTCTTCCTCTCTTGGAGATTTTCACTCCTGCATTTCACAGAACCATTTGTCCACTACACTGGTGTCATTCGAACAATTCACACACTGCTTCTCTGATTATTGCATACCAGTACACTAGGAACACAATAACCATAACCAATGCACACCTACCAGGTCACAAATCGACATCGACAAATTTCTGTACATGACACTTGACTCATTCGACAGATCAGTTGACCAATTCATGGGCACTGCCCGTTCTCCAATATAGATCACAATATCCACCTCGAACACGGAGATCTCTACAAGGAAAAGTTAATGAGAAAAGTCTTAAATACCATAGCATGTAATTGGTAACGATAATAATAGTTTCATTGCAAGTTCCTGATATTTTGAAGGCACGCTCTCGGTGATACAGTGAGTAGGAATCGATGTTGTCACTGATTGTTACTGGTTGGTGTCTTCACGACTAACTTTCGTTTGATTCACTTTTCATCATTCTGCGGAAGATGTTAGTAATGCTTACAAATAGACGAAAAGATAAGTGCACACAAGAACGCACGGAATGACATTAATGAACTGAATTGTAAGAGAGACTGCCATCTAGTCGAACACTACAAAACGAAAACACAATGGTCCTCAGTTGTCATTACGCCGTTCAGATACTGTCACCAAATCTAATATAATCACGAGGTGGGTCTGTGCCTCAATCGACGCACTCACTCAAGCAGTCGGTCAGTCGGTCGTTCAATCAATCAGTTTATCGATCAACTGAACACTGAGCACAGCACAAACTCAAATTTCATGTGACCATGTATGGAAATAGATGCGAACAACACGTTGATTCTGAAGAAACAATATGGACCTACCGAAATCATCTGATGTAGTAGTTGATGATGGGCTCGTCGTCTTCACAGTTGATGTCGTCTTCACCGTCTCCGTTGTCCTAATCGGTTGTGCGAATTCGGTTGAGACAGTAGTTTTACATGGGATGAGGAACAAGTATCAACAGACTGGAAGCAAGGACTTCTGGTCGAAATACCAAGGAAAGGCGATCTCAGCAAGTGTGATAACTACAGGGGCATCACTCTTCCCTCTATACTGGGAAAAGTCTTCAACAGAGTATTGTTAAACAGGATGAAGGACTGCGTAGACGCCCAACTTCGTGACCAACAGGCAGGATTCCGTAAGGATAGGTCGTGTACAGACCAAATCGCAACTTTACGGATCATTGTGGAACAGCGAATTGAATGGAATTCATCACTCTGCATCAACCTCATTGACTACGAAAAAGCATTTGATAGCGTGGACAGGACAACACTATGGAAGCTTCTTCGACACTACACCGTGCCTCAGAAGATAGTCAATGTCATGAGGAATACCTATGATGGATTAAACTGCAAATGTCAAGACAGTTCTATTGTATGGGGCGGAAACCTGGAGAACTACGAAAGCCATCATCCAGAAAATACAGGTGTTTATTAACAGTTGTCTACGCAAAATACTTCGGATCCGTTGACCGGACACCATCTGCAACAACCTACTGTGGGAGAGAACAAACCAGATTCCAGTGGATGAAGAAATCAGGAAGAAGCGTTGGGAGTGAATAGAACACACATTGAGGAAGGCACCCAACTGCATCACAAGTCAAGCCCTCATATGGAATCCTCAAGGCCAAAGGAGAAGAGGAAGACCAAAGAACACATTAGGCCGAGAAATGGAGATAGAGAGGAGAAAAATGAACAAGAATTGGGTGGAACTAGAAAAGAAGGCCCAGGACAGAGTGGGATGGAGAATGCTGGTCGGCGGCCTATGCTCCATTGGGAGTAACAGGCGTAAGTAAGTAATATATATAGCCGGAGAAATATACAGTAATGTTTAAGAGTAGATGGATAATCACTAGTAATAGAATGATAGGATTGTCATTTAGTTTTATTGTTGATTCATCAGCTGAATATATCAGCAACTCAGAGTTAATTTCCACACTGGGACTTAAAACCATCACCCCTCTCTTTAAATGCTAAATGCACTGTTCAATAAAAAAGAAAACCTGACGAGTCGAGATAGATAGTGAATTACTTATAAAGG